CCGCGACAGCGCCGTCCCCAGCAGCAGCACTGAGAACAACGCCGTGGTTAGGATCTTCAGCTGGTACGTCACCTGTGGGGAAAGTGGGGACAGTCACCTGGGGACAGGGACACCTGTGGGGACAAGATCGCCTGGGGGCCAGGGCAAGGGTCACCTGTGGGATAGGGACACAGTCACACAGGGACAGGATCACTTGTGGGGATAGGAACACCTGGGGACAGGGATGAGAAGAGGGCCACCTGGGGGACAGGGTCACCTGCGGGACACAGACACAGATGTGGAAACAGGGACATGGGCACAAGGTCACCAGGACAGGGATACTATCACCAGCAGGGACATCAGGCATAGGGACCCTGGACACTGTCACAGGGACATGAGGACAGACACACCGTGACTGTCACAGAGACATGAGTACAGACACACCGTGACTGTCACAGAGACATGGACACAGGGACACCACCACGATCCCCAAGGTTCCCGAGCTCATTGCACATCCCCACCTGACCCTGTGGTCCCCATGTGCCACCTATCCCCATGTCCCACCTGGAAGGTGGCCGCAGGCAGGTTGGAGATGGCCACGTACTGCAGGTTGTTCTGCAGAGTGTAGATGAGGGAGGGGACAGCCAACCGCAGTGTGTCCCCAAACTGTCCCACCACGGCCTCATGCAGTGTCACCGCCGTCTGCCGGACACTGCCTGGGGGGGACAGGGCTCAGGGACAGGGAACACCGCCCAGACTGGTCGTGGCCACTCCTTTGTTGTCACTCCCCCAGGGTCCCTATCATGAGTGTCCCATGCCCCCTCGTGTCCCCAGCACAAGACCCTCAAGTCCCCTCATGTCTCCCACATATCTGCCACTTGTCATCTTCATCCCTCCAATGTCCTCTCTTGTCCCCTCCTCTGCCCTGTGTCCTCTTGTATCCCCATCATGAGACCCCGCCCACTCCACTAATGTGGACTAATGTCCCCATCCCCCCACCCTGTGCTCACCTCAGAACTGGAGGAGACAACGCCAGGTGTGTCCCCGTCCCCCCCATGTCCCCAGGCTCACCCCTGTGTGGATGAGTAGGAGTAGCAGAAATAGATCCCATTGTCCCCCGTCCCTACCCTTGTGCTGGATGAGCAGGAGCAGCAGGCAGGCGCTGCCCTTCATGGCCTCGGCCATCACCACGGCCGTGGTGGGCAGGAAGCGTTCCCCGGGCAGGGTCCGCACGTAGCGGATGCTGAGCACGAGGGACGCGTTCTGCAGC